TTGAAGTCTTATATTCCTCAATTTTCTCTAAAATTTTATTTGAACTCATACCAGTAAATCCTTTTTCAGCTGAAGCCTCAAGAAGCTGAATTTCTGGCTGAGAATACAAATGCAGCATTGAGCTTGTTTGAGAAAGTTTCAGAGAACATGGGTAAAGTGGATTTTACATAAAATTATTTCTATCAAGCAAAGTGCTTTGCTCATATAATAATTTATTTATTAGAATCAACTTATTAAGTTTTTTTTCAGTTTTAATTTTCATTGCATGTTACTTACACAAATAACACACATATGTGTACAGAATCAATTGCTTTGTGCCCTACAATATATACATTACTTACAAAGATTTCTGACATCATTAACAGTAGACACATAACTAAACAGTCATAAAGCTATAGAAGAAAAATTAAACACCGCAAAACAGAAACTTATAGTACAAAACGTGCCTAACAATCTCAATACTCAACTGCTGGATAACTTCTCTTAAAACTGTCTGCATTTGTAACAAAAAAAACCAAACAAGCAAACAAATGCACATGAATATAGGGCCTCAAAAAATTCAGGCCTGTATGGGATTTGAACCCATGATCTCTGCAATACCATGCAGTGCAGTGCTCTACCAACTGAGCTAACAAGCTAACTGGGAGCTGGTCATTATGTTGGCTAGTAATAAACCTGTGAAGTGATGAATCAATGACTGTGAACTGCAGATTAAGAAATGAATATGAAAGAGTATGAAAAAAATTCAGGCCTTATTTTCACTGCTGCTAAAGTAGTTTTCATTACTGCAAAGATCACTTCCATGTTCATTTCTTAATCTGCAGTTTACATATATGATTTTAATATATTCGTTAGCACTAGCATAGCTTATAGTACAGCACAACACAACTTTTTAAACTTATTTTGCATACTGAGGTTATAATGAATTAAGTGTCATCACCTTTTCAAGTTATGTGAGTATGTGATATATGAGCCAGTAAATATAGACTTAAAATAATGATGCTACCCAATAGCTATTCTTCGTGTTAAATTCCAATATCTGATTACTGAGCAATTCTCCTTGTTAGATTCCTTATACTTCCTTGTTAACCAGTAAGGAGAATTTGATGACATGTCAAGACAACTTTGTCATAACAAGGAGTTTCTCTGTTTTTACCATTTGTTTATCAGGATTATATGTTCTCATTGTAAAGAGATGTTACATGTTAATCTTCTAGAAGTGAAATAAAAAGGGTTTCCTAGTTCTGATAGTACGATCAATTTTTTCATCTCTCTAGGAACTGGTGACAAGCTACTCAAAGTTGCTGGTTCACAAGTAGAGGATGCACAGAAGTGAATTGAGACATGGTTTTTGTATTTTGTTCATCGTGATTTAAACTGCTGTTTACCAGGAATGAAAACATACAAACAATTTCTTTCTGTTTTTTCTTATAATTTCTCAAATGCCAGTCGTTGTAGAAATAAGATAAGGAAAAGGAGGAAGAGTTAATTTTTTTTTTTTTTTTCATGTAGATAATCTATATCATGAGATTTCTGAGATATCAAACGAATAGTCAAAACCTAGAAGTAATGGTGAACTGGGTCAGTGTCAGCTTCTGAGCAACTGGGTACTTACCCCTCCCCTGACCCAACAACAGTCAACTGGTAACAAGTTAGAGTTAAGTTGGGTTAGGTGCAGGGTGGGTACATGGTTGGCTAGATACTGACATTGATCCAGTGAACCTATAACCATGGTTTTGACTAATGACACAAGCAAAGCACCAGCGCAATGGCATGCACAAGGTAAATATGCAAAGTGAAAATGAAAGTCAATATGCACTGTAAGCACTATAAGCACAAGGAAAAGGAAAAAATTCTGATGCTTGTGCTTAAGCTTGCACTCGTGTTTATGCTTGCATCAAGGCTGTTTTCACAGTGAAATATGAGCTGTTGTGCTTGCAGTATTTGTGCTTGCACTTGTGCTTGGGTTGATAGTAAAAAACCAGGTGATAGACTTTACCTTTAAGCAGTCAGGATTGTTGGAGAATGCATGAGAAGTCTATAAATTTTGAGTCAATGTTAAGTGATTTCAAAACTTTTCCATTGTCAGCAAGTGTAGCTTAACTGATTAAAAGTGTGATCATTTGGATAGGAAAATTGAATTTTTTGGTCAGGACACAAAGTGTAGTTTTCTTACTGCAGGATTTTCTATTTAACTGAGAACTGCCAATGACCAATTATGATGGCACACTCGCAGTACTTAAGATTAATTTTACCAGGGCTTGAATCCCAACAAAGTATCCCAAAATGACTGCAGTCATGAAGGCTATATTTAAAATGTTGCATTTTATTATCATATCAGCAATAATCAGCAAATGATGTGCAAAACTAATTCAATAAAGGTTGTGTAGGAGATTTAGAGTTTTACTTTGACTGAAGGGACATCTTTTTTAAGAGGGACTGTTGGCAAAGGCATCATGGGATCAAGGTTATTTTTAATCATTCAAAAATTTCATATTTACTACCAAATTGTCAAACAAATTTTTTCTTAAACCAAATTATAGACACGCTTAAAAAAAGATTCCTGCAGCAGATCAATTTACAGTTTGACTGGTAACCTTGAAATCCAAGAAATGATTAACATGTAACTTCCCCTAATAATATCCATTACATTATCCAGCAAACAGGTAATGATAATATACTCAAACTTATCAGGTAGAAGTTTTTTCTTGATGTAACAACAAATTCTGTTAACTAATTTACATGGAACCCTCAGGCAGCCAGAGGGGAGAATTAACAATGAGGTCTTGTGAGTAGAAGGGTCAAGAAAACCCTGGAAACTTTGCAAAAGAGGGGTAAAAGGAATTAGTGCATGTAGGGAATATTTAAGGGCATTTCCCTTAACATCCCTCCCTTGTGCTCATGCATAATTACACATTGCCACAATTCTCTTTGCTGTAATATTCCTTTTTAAATCACTTTGTGTTAATGGAACACCTGATATTGCACTAGTTATATTGGTGCATTTGAATAATGCATTGGCGATCAAGGAACTTTATAAACCGAAAGTAAGGCAATTGTGAATATTTATTGACGTGGGTTGAGTGGAATTTCTGGAACACAATGTCATATTACTGAATAATCAAGAAAATTTTTGTAGCGGAAGTGAAAGGCAATTGTGATATTTGTTGTCATAGGCTGGGTGGAATTTCTGGAATAATGTAGTATTACAAAATGTCAAGAAAATTTTTATAGCATAAGTGAAAGGCAATTGTGAATATTTATTGATGTGGGCTGGACAAAATTCCTTGAACACAATGTCATGTTTCTAAATGAGTTAATCATGTCAAAAGATTGTTTTTAGATGCCACTTGGCGGAAAATTTTATTCATTATTTCTCATAGTCTTTTTTATTTTATGGTGAAAAAAATGTTCTAAATCCTTACAGCTGTTCCCATTGTTTTTGTTATTTTGCTTGTTGTTTAGTTTTTTTTTTCCTGTAATAAATTCAAACGAAATATCGTATTGAAATCCAACTTCTCAAATTGCTATTATCCTTGGGGATTTTTGAGACAAAATTTTATCATCAAAACACGTAACCAAGTTGAAATTTTCCTTTTCTGGTTGTGAATATTGTCAATATTGTATTTTCACTGTTCAGTATATATGGGTTTTTTTAGCAGGTGACGAAAAGTGATGTACCATTCCCTGTACTTCATCTCCCTCAGTCAAGAGACCTTCAACTAACAGGTTAATTTTGAATGCATGCAAATCCAATTTTAGCTTCGAGATAGCGTCTCTTTCTAAACTCGCAGCTTTTGTTTTCAAAACCACAACTTCCATTGTCTATATGATAATATTTCCCAATGCGGGTGTGAAAACATGTGATCAGTGACGTCACGTTTCTTTGGCTAGAGCGACGAAAAGAACCCGAGTATTGGATTACAATTGAAGTTAAAGATTTTTCATCGACGTTTCTTCTCAGATTTCAAGTAAGGGATCATCCGAAGGCCGCCCATGTCGCCGCAAACGACTGTTGTATTTTTCCTTGGCGTTTTGGTAGCGTTTTGCCTCGGCCTGGAGTTCGAGGAACGCGGTGAGTTTGAAGTAAAGTTGGTTGTTAAATTCGAACGCGCGTTGGCGATGTTTGACAGTGTGTTCTCCTCATGTCGCATGTTGCGAGGAGTGGATAACTCAACTATTCCAATGATCTGTACCTTTCTGTGCGAAATACATGTTTTTTGGATCGTTCGATATTCTTTACCTGTGGCAAACAATTTATTTGATGTAACTAAGGGTTGTTTTTAGTATTTTATTCTTCCTTTAATCGCAACGGGGTTGCTGTATTTAATTTTGTACGTAGTGGGTTTCTCCTTATCTCGAGATGTATATTGCACTTTCCACGCTCTTCCAATGCAAATTTTTCTTTTATCTCCCACGAAGCACTCAGCGTTTAACATTTTTTTCTTTTTTCTGCTAAATACTGATCTGTTGTGTCCAAAAGTTTTGTTTGCGACTTTCAAAGATGTCAATTCCACGCCATATTGCATGCAAATTGCAAAAGTTTATTATTTTCGAATCACTTGATTTGCCTACGAACCTTTCCTTATATATCTTAGCCGCAATCTTTCCACTTTGTGTCTGTTTTTACGTAGTGTCTAGTTGTCCTATGTGGAATATTGTCTTTTGAATTCAGTAAAGAACTGCTTTGTCAGCGAACTATTCACTTCGATGTTTCGTCGTCTTTGCGAAATCTCCTTTCTCGAACAATACAATGAGTAATCAAGAACGCGTGAAAGCAGACTTTAGCGCATTAAATCCACCCAAAACCCTTGTAGGCTCCCCTATGTTGTCTAGCATTTTTCTTTAATACATTTTGAAGCATACGTTCGGAAAATGTCGATTTGCAAACTCAGTTTAGACGTATCTTCGTAATATTTGCGCACACAACGATAAACTAATTGCTTTGCGCATTGAATTCTTTTTACGCTCGAGTTTTGACCCAATTTACACTCAGTCTGTTGGTGAATTTACTGCTTAGACTTGTCACAAATTGGACCATATTACGCTGTTTGGCTATTTTAAACTTTTCTTATTTGTAACATGTTGGCAGATAGCCCATGTTCAGATAGATTTTTTTCTTCACGATGCGACAGTTCTTGCACTTTGCTTACCAATTTTCATCAGCGTGAAATTCGTTAACAGGTTATCTCTTTCCGTTTTGCAGATTTTTCAGAGTTGAGAGGAAACGATAACGTTTCATGTCTTGTTTTCTTCACAATCCCCTGTAGAAAAGTTAGAAAAGCAATCACAAGCAGAATTTCTGTAATTTGTTTTCTTTGAGTTGAGATTGAAAACTATATGGGCAAAATTGTGTTTTTGTCGCTTTTTTTTTTTTCTTTTTTTCACCAGGATTGTGTTTTTAAATATGTTGGCGTTGGATTTTGGTATCCAAATTATTTGAAAATCCATCTTATATTTTACCATGTTTATTTGTATGGACCCAAAAAATGCTGTTAAATTATTCCTGAACACGTATTGTTTTCATCCGTTATAGCAAAATGGTCAAGCTTGAGTTCCCCTGTTTCTTACACGCCCTTAAGCCATTTTTAAGTTGTCATTGGTTTGAGATTTGATCAGTTTGAATTTGGATTTGAATTTTTTTACTTCAGATTATTTTGATATTGATGTCACATTGGAGATTAGGGAAAAATTCAAGTCAAAAGTGCTTTCATATTATTTAAGACCTAAACAGTTTGGCTGTGACATACTTATGTACAAGATTATTGAGCTGATGTTACATGTTGTAGTTGTGAAATTGAAATCAGTTATTTCTGTTATATTATCCACAGGATTTGATTTTGTCCAAAAGGAGTATGCACGTGCTATCACGGAATACCATGCTGTCAATAAAACTGTGATGCACATCAGAGCTGTGGGATGCGAAGGGCCTGTGAAGTATACCATAGCTCAGCCGGATACACCTTTCAAGATCGATGAAAAAGGACATGTTTGGCTTGTGAAGAGACTTAACTATGACAAAGCAAGTTCCTATCTGTTGAATGTGACAGCAGAAGCTGGAGATGGGAAATGCATTGCCTACACCAAAATCCACTTTGAAGTTTTGAACATGAACAAGCATGCACCACAGTTCGAATTTGAGAAGTACAGTTGTGATATTATTGAGAATACGCGAGAAATGAGGTTTAATCCACCCATGAGGGTTCTGGACAGCGACAGTGGAAAAGCAGGAAAGATAAGCAGTGTGAAAATTGTGGAGTCTGGCCTTCCGTTTGTGTTCACTGTTGATGAGAAAGGAAATGTCCAGGGGAGGGCTACTAAAAACATGGATGCAGAAGATATCACAGACTACTTCTTTGATGTCATTGCCTGGGATAGTGGAGAGCCTTCAAAATCTTCCTTCCCCATCAGCTTAGAGTGTGAAGTTGATGATGTGAATGAGTTTGGACCGCATTTTACGCCAGACACTTACCAGGCTAAGATTGCTCGTGGAAAGACATACTCTAACATCACTCAGGTTTGCGTTTACAAACATTTGTTTACATCTCCCCTTAAAAAGGTTCTATTTATCCTTTGCACCCTAACATCAGTATGCCTATTCTCCATACTATTCTCTATACATTTCCTAATGTGCTGGTAAGGAGAATTTATTTAACAATCAAGAGGTTCTTCAGTTATTTCATTTCCTCCATTCTCATGAGCTTAATGTTTGATTCAGGGGTGATACTGAATGGAGAAATCTGTGCTGGTCACTGTCGGGGATTAAAGGGTTTAGAACTTATTGATTGATAAATTAAATTTACCTTGTAATTAAAAATCTATTTTGTTCAATTTGTCAGGTCTTTGCTGAAGATAAAGACATCGGTATTGTCAGTGGCAGAGTTTGCAAGTATGTTATTGAAGGCTTCAATCTTCCATTCAAAGTCAATGATGATGGTGTTATCAGCATTGATCAGCCTCTGGGACGTGATGCCTATGATTTATATGAGTTTCAAGTGGATGCTATTGACTGTGGTGGACAAATGTCAAAGAGCAGTGCAAAAGTAGCAATCTCTGTAGAAACAGTACAACCACCTTGTGCTGAAGGTCAGTTTTGAGGATGTTGGTGTTTGTAACATGATTGGCAGCTGAACCTGGTATATTTGCAAATTGAAAAATATTTCACTTTTGTTTATCAATAATAGATAAAAGAAGTCTAGAAAATTATTGATGGAGTTTCTCTTAAGAATTAATGAAAGAAAATCTTTTCAAAGGTAACACTTTGTTTTGATCTATAATTCAGCAGAAGCTATGACAAGGATATGAAATTTAAGAAAATTGAGCTTCTTTTAAAAAAAAAATTGTTGGTGTTAAATTCATTGTTAATTACATTTGCAAGAGAACAGATTGAAAGGAGCCTATCAGCAATGATGTGTGGTCTCAACATTCAATTATTGTTTAATGTACATTGGTATTCCAAAGGGAATAAAAACACAAGGTTGGACAGATATCAAGTTTTGGGATTCAACAATGACAGGGTGCCAAAGCAAACATGTAACAGATTATGCAAATGTGTTTGATAGCAATGCACAGTGATTCTATCATGTTACCTGATAAAGATTACATGTGGCAGTGATGCAATTTCATAATAAAAGCTAGTAATTGAACAAGATAATTTGTTATTTTCAAGTAAGTTGATAGTGTAAATTGGCCATCATGAAGAATTTCCAAAGCTGAAATTTGTGAGTGTTAGCCCTTTGTTAAAGGGAAGAACATTCAGAGCATTTGCTCTGATAAAACTGCTATGGCTCAAAACGTCAGCCTCAGAAATTCTTCATGATGGACAATTTACACTATCAACTCAGGTGATAATTTCAAATTATTATCAAATTATCTTATAATATCTACAACCTAGGAAATGCCACAGTTTCTTTAGAAAGTTTACCCCTTTTTGAATTGAACACCCTCATTCAAATTATCAGTCAACTGATAGACTTCATATGCTAGTTGATCAGTAAGATTTAACTACATGGTACATTAGAAAGTTTTGAGTAGAAGGAGTAATGAACTCAACACTCAATTCTAGCAGTCCACACCAGAACAGGTTGTAGTTTTTATATTTAAACCAACCTGTCTCATTTCTCCAAATCTGACTTCAGAGTTTGTTGGACCAGCTAAACACAAGTTCACCTTACAGCAATGCACTGGAAAAGTTTATGTCACCCCTGACATCACCTTGAACAAGTGCGCCAGAAAGCAAGAAAAGGGCAAATTCTCTGCGAATGTCAGTCTGGTAACCGAAGCAGGCATGGGCTGTGACAGAGAAACATTTGAAGGATCAGATATGTTTACCCTTTGTGGGGCAAGCAACTTTATTGATCTGCTCCCCAAACCAGGAGTTGGTAGGGAATGGACAGAGAACATTGCAAAGAAGAATGAAAAAGGTAGGTTTATACTGAAATTGGAAACAGCTTTTAAACAATTCTGATTAAAGTTTGTTGCTATGTTAGCACATTACTAAAATTATTGGCTGTGTGAACAGTTTAGTGTGTTAGGTTAACTTCCGTTCATTTACCTACGCAGTAGATTACCCACATCCACATTTTTGCAACAACGAGAAAAAAATTTCAACAGATTACCTGCACTCAAAAAAAACAAAAGAAAATTGTCCACTCACACAAAGTTCCTTCATTGTTTTTGTTGACATGATATCCTTTAGCATGCAACTAATAAATTTTCACACTTTAAGTCTTCGCTGTTGCATCGAGAATGATACCAATTGTAAAAATCTGCTCTAAAAAAATTGATATCATGAAATCTATAGAGTTGGAGAAATCACTTGAAATGGGAAAATACTCTTTACCTCAAGGCAGTGCTAGCTGAGAAAATTTCTCTGATGTGTAGAATATTCTGTCACACCAATTAATTATGCAGCCTCATGAAATGAACATGTTGGCACCATTTTCCGTGTGAATTGCCCTGAAGCTAGTCTTTTCACAGTAGTTGATTTCTTTTATTTTCAAGTTCACTTCCTGTGTAAGTGAGAATTGTTTTTTTGAACTAAACAAAGAAACAAGCTGTGAAATTGATAAGGTTAGAAAGTAAGAGTATGAACAAGATAATAGCTATGTTATCGAGTTTTGTATGTTTTCGATTTGCATCGGCTTTCATTGAGAGCAATAAAGTGTCTTATTAGAATGAGCAATCTGTGTGAAATAAATGAGTTATTGCACAAGTTTTTGAAGAGTATCTGTCGTGAATCTTATCACCTGTTTTTTTTCCTGTTTATCGTTTTTAACTACACTGGAAGCTTTAGAAATTATTGTATTACCTGCACCTTCCTATAACCTGCACCAGCAACTGTTTGTAGAAATATTAATAGATTACCCGCAGGTTATTGGCCGAAAAATTATAGTATATGAAATTTCACTGCAACTTTTTATTTTTTTCTTTCTGGCAAACAATTAATTATGATTATCAGTTGAGTGAGGCAGGGGAAAAAAAAAAGATTGGTGGCTGGGTTTTTACTGTGAAATAACAGTGTTTGTCACAGGAAAACTTCCTCGTTTCCTCTGGCAACTGAAATTTTGACAGCCATGTTTCACCAGTCATCAAACCTGAAAACCTGTCAAAAGTGGTTTTCAGACATCTGTCATGCCTCACCTAACTGAAATTCGTGTTTGTACGTCACTGAAAGGGACTTTGAAAGACTTGCTGAATGTAGCTTGCAGATACATAAAATTGGGGTGAATATTTTGTTGGAAGTAATGATCAACTGTGCAAAGTATTTTAGTTGAGTAGAGCATCTGAATTTAGAGGACTGTTCTCATTTATTTGCATCTAATTTTCTTTTTCAGATGCACTTGGCTTTTCATTCAATGGGAAGACATATGTGGACATCCCTGATGAAGTCTTGCCAGATGACATTGGTGACAAGTTTACCATCAGCACATGGATCAAGGTGGCCAAATCCAAAGGTCGCCAAACTATTGTTGCCAACACTGATAAGGAACGCCTGGACCGTGTACATTTCTCTCTGTCTATATATGGGAGCAAGCTGATTTTTTTGCACAAACGTGAGGCCATACACGCTAACCGCGATGTCTACTGCAATGCAGAATTTCAGTACAAACCAGCCATTTTTGACGACAAATGGCATCATATTTTGGTGATTGCTGACGGCTGTGCTACCAAGATGTATGTTGATGGAGAGCACTACGCAGCAGTGATAACTGAAGCAGACCGAACCCTCCACAACTCAAACCTGAAAAATAAGGTGACTGTTGGTGCCCGCTATTTGGCAAAGGAGGGAGTTTACACTGATAGGCTCACAGGATATTTGTCTGGACTTACAATCAGGCCCAATAGCACTCTTAATGAACAGGTATGACCTTCTTTTCTTGTTTGCTATTTCTGCACCCATTCTATGTGCAAGTGAGAAATATAAGGGCTTATCCCTTGTACCCTTAATGCTTTAACTTCCATAAGTGATCAAGACAGAATTTCTCCTTGCATTATCAATACAATATCAAGCAGACAAGTGATGAGAGTAGAGGAAATGTCAATTAGGGGATTATAAGTTGACCAATATCAAATTCTTCGAACTAACATCATGAAAATCAACAGTAAGGCCGATTACTAAATGAGATGTTGGGAGTGATTGGCTTCTAATTTCTCCTCAAGGTATCACCTTTGAATCAAATGTAAAGGTCAGGAGAATAAAGGAAATGATCACCAATTTGAGAAGCTCCTGATTGTCAACAAATTCTCCTTGTCGGGACCACAGGAAATGTAAAGAGAGCAGTGTGGAGAATCTGCATCCTAATTTTGGGTTGTTTAGGAATGTATGGGATGTTTATTTTTGTTAAGAATAGTTTTCCACCTGCAGAGTCCATAAAGAAAGTAAAGGGTTTTAAAACTTAGAAATGACTTACAGAAATTTTTATGTAGGCCAAATTGTCCACAGGGCCCTTTTTTGTTTTGTTTTGTTTTTTTTGTGTACCTTTTACAGTTCACTGTGTCTGTGAATCTTGCTTTCAACTGAATCAATGTTATTTTATTTTCACAGGTTCTGGGCTGTGTGATTGGCTGTAAAGAACATGTGAATGTTGATGGCCCTCTTCCTCCTAAATTCTTGGCCAAAATCATTGATTTTGGAAGTATTGCAATCACTGGGGAAGGATCACCTAGTGACTTCATCAAGGCCTTGCAAAGTCTTGTGTACATTAATGAGCGCATGGTGCCAACACCGGGAAAACGCTCCGTGATCATTGAGGCCAAGATTAATGAGAAACCACTGGCAACCATCACTGTGGACATTAACGTTGCAGGAAATACACGTCCTGTGATAATTGTTGAAGGTTTGGACGCAGACATTGGACTGAACTGGGCGAAGAGAAAGGTTGTAAAACAGAAAGGTTTGCATGTGTTTGATTCCCTGGAAATCGATTATGATGCTTGTCCAAGAGATGACGAGTTCTCTCCAATCGACAAGGTGCGCTTTTTGGATGAAGCAGTGGTAAAAGTTAAGCCGGCCTTCAAGAAAGGAGAAAGTTTTAATTTTCCCACAGGAATTAAAGGACTGAAGGAGAAGGGACTGACTGTGAGTTTCAACAATGAGGAGCTTGTTATTCGAGGAATTGCACACTTTTCAGAATACGAAGATGTCCTTCGACAGATGGTGTATGTGAACTTGGATCCAGATGACCTGATGCACCTAGAGATAACTGTAAGTATTAATAAAAAATTTGAAGAATGCTCTGAGGATTTTCTTACAGAAATGCTCCATGAATTATGTGCTTAGAGCCTTTTAACTCCCAGAAGTGATTTACATGCAAGTTCACTCTATAATATCCAGGTTCATCTTTATTTAACACCAAATTCTTGTAACTAATTTACAAAGAAAAGAGTAGCAGCCGGAGGGTGGATTAACAATCAATCTAAAGATCTGTTTCATCTTCACAGAATGATATGTGACTGTCTTTTTTTTTCTTTCATCATGTAGGTGACTTTGTCAACCCTGAAGGGCAAATGCAAAAGTGATTCAGAACGACTTAACATCAACACCATTCACTCTAACAGAGGATTCAAAGACTACAACATCAAGTTTGCCGAGAACAACCAGAAGGAAGAGATGATGCCTGGTATTGTTTCTGTGGAAGCTGCCATGGGCAAGGAGTCATCAAGTGGTCTGTCCAGTGGGGTCATGGCTGCGATTATTGTTTGCAGTCTGGCTGTTTTTGCCTTCCTTCTTGTGCTTGGCATCTTCAAGTACAGACAGTAAGTTTAATCTTGATATAACAGGGTAATTTAGTATTATCAACTCAGTTGATAACATAAATTGGCCACTGTAAAGAATTAAAAGCTGATATTTTGTGTGTTAGCCCTTTGTCATTGCTCTGAAGAAGTCCTAATGCTCAAAATGTAAGCTTTTAAACTCCATGCTGGCCAATTTATGTGTCATCAACTCAGTTGAAAATACTTAATTCTCTTACCAAGGCAGAACCACAGTTTCTTAGTAAACTTACCACCATTAATCTTGATTAAGTGATAATGTTAGTGTTATAATACTATATGTAGATCAGAACCCCTATAATTTTACCAAAGATCAACCCATTAGCTCCAAAGAGTGACTAATGTAGTTTCTTCTTATGTTATTGCTGTGGAATCAAACATAAAGTTCATGACAATAATTGAAATGATTGTCAACTGAAGAAGCCCTTAATTTTTTCATGAGGTCTCTTTTTCATTTCCATAGGAATAGTGTAAGGAATGGTATGAATGTTATGAAATGCATACTGATTTTTGGTGACAAGTTAAGGGTTAAACTTTTCAAGATTTCTTGCACATGTTATCAATCTTTATTAACTGATAACCAATGAAATGTTTCCACCTCCTCCACCCAGTCATTTAAGAATCTAATAAGTTTGCTTGGAAATAAATAACATGAGAATGTTTCCTCATTGAAGTTCTCACTCGAGGTTGGAAATTTATCTCCAAGATAGGCTCAGTAAAGGCAGTTACATTATGTTTCTGCAGTTATAACTGTCTTTTTTTATTGTGTTGGGGACTGCAAAGCAAGGTTGATTGAATACATGTTTAAGTTAAAGTCTAATTTTCAAATGAAAATTGTTGTAAGAGATGTGACCGAATAATTTTTTTTTGTAATAGGAGGCCAGAGACTGTGAAAGTCGTACCGCCTGGTGACGACAAAGAGGAGATGTACTGGGATGACACTGGTCTGAGTGGTGTGCGTATTACTCTGAATCCCATGCAAAAATTCCAGGAGCTAGACCTGAATGAAGATGGCAATAACACGGAAAAGTCTGACACTGAAGACGAGGAAGGCACAGCAACAAAAGGCCTGTTGGAGTGGGACAACTCTGATATGTAATCACCTGTGGTGACCTTGTGAAACAAAGTTTTTGTTTAAGGGTGGAAGTTTAGTATCATGGTTTGTAATTGGTTTGAAGCTTCAGGTTTTTTTTCCTTCAATTTTTTTAATTTGATTCAAGGGAGAGAGTTAAAAACAGTTAGAAGTTGAAACTCAATCCATTTTCCTTCAAGAAAGTTGGAGTAATTTTGCCTTGATTAACTGGTTGGTAATGATCTACCAGCATTTCAGTAGATTTCTGTCTGTGAACTTGAAGCCGTGCTACTGATTGTTTGAAGTTTGTTCGTTTTTTTTGTCAGTGTTTTCTTTGCATTCTTTTCATTGATGTGGCATTAGTTTTAAGGTATTTTGTAGATTTTTTTAAAAAAATACTATTTCTTAAACTTTGTTTACCTTTCACACTTGTTCAAGGTGTGTAAAAATGATATATAATCTTGTTGAGATAAAAACAGAATTTGTGATTCCTTTCTTTCCTCGTTTTCTTTTTCATTATTATGTAAGTAACCCTATAGTAACAAAAAAGAAAACTTCAGTAAAAATATCAAGGAAAATTTACTAGATAAGAAACCTATGTGCAGTGCATACCTGTTTTGTGGAATTTAAGTATGGGTCATGGAAAGTCATGGAAATTATTGAATGTGATACTTTTGAGAATGAATCTCGTAAAAAAACCTCATTATATGATTACATTTACTTGATTTTGGAAGCACTTTATTTTTTTAGGTTATGAGTAACATCTGTCATGGAAAATCAGGACTTGTTTTATTGACAACTCATGTAATTTTCCTTTCTGCTACTTAATTGTCATCTCAAGTTATTCAACAAGGATTTTTTTGTAATACAAATTTGATTTTGTTAGAGAAAATGTGAGTTTCTGAAAAGTTTGAGAAAAAAATAGTGGTAAGGGGTATCATGATTTGAGATTTCCATGCCTGTGTAAAATTGATTTTTGGGATTATTTTTGTGATTTTTCATATTGTAATTGTTATTATTTGTAATGAATTAAGTGAGAACTGAAGTCATGTTATCTTGTGTTAGCTTAGGGAAAGCTCAAACTTTTTTTTACCACTGAAGATAGAGTTCAACTTTTTTTTGTATAAATTTAATAATATGACATTAAAATATGCTAGTAATGCCTTGAGTGTACATAAATATAATGATGCATTAGTTGTGCTTTGTGAGTTACTCATCATACTCTGAAAATTAGTTTGGGTGAATTGTTGGTAGAAAAAATGCAACATCAGGAAAAATTAAAAAGAAAAAAGAAAAAAAGTATGTAAGGTTGAATAGAGGTTGTGATCATGATGGTATTGTAACTGTCGTAATAGCTTAAGATCTTTGATTTCTTTAACTCCCAAAAGTGATTAACATGTTAGTTCTCCTTGGAATTCCAACAAGTTACAGACAAACATGTCAGCTTAAGGGAGAGTTTTTTGAAATAAGACCAAATTCTGCTGTCTTATTTAAAAGGAAAAGTATGGCAGTCGGCAGGGATAACTAATTATTTGATCATGGGAGTTAAAGAGGTTAAAGGCTATATATTGACTTGTGTAGGATTCGCAAAATGGGAAGTGTTGATCGATTTTTCGTCCGATGGAACAAAAATTGTAGAATATATGTAGAGGCTGATGGTTAGTGGAAGTCAGTAGAGTTTGGTAAGACCTCAAAGCAATTTTTGTTCTAATAATACAAATATAATAAAAGCGTTAACCCCCTATGTAAGGAAACATCATAACCATTAAACTGCTGCTATTATACAATGTAAAATTTGGTCCTGACTTTTCACTCCTATCAAGAAGTGGCAACGTGTGATTTCGAGATTGTTCAAGCCGTAATGTGCGAGTCATTAGCGTGCACCTGGCGAATTTTATGCAGACATTCTTCAATTCTTAGACACCAACTTCCGCAGACCCGATTTATATCGCATCTTGAATTTATATGAAAAGAAGAAATTTTTTTTGAAGTCAAAGTTCAACACCTCACTTACCTTCCTTGCTGTCTGTTTCCAGGTGAAGACAGCGTTCTCACTATTGCTGCACAGAATCTTTTCAATGTAGGTTATATTTTGGAATAATGAATTTGTCTGTCTTAGTCATCGAAAGCAGTGTTGCTAGCACCAACCAGATTGC